CTAAGTACACAATGTATATGTGAGTGGTAGACAAGTCCATAATGCATCAATCTAAGTACAACTGTATATATGAGTAGCATACAAGTCCATACTGCATCAATCTAAGTACACACTGTATATGTGAGTAGTATACAAGTCCATAATGCATCAATCTAAGTATACACTGTATATGTGAGTAGTATACAAGTCCATAATGCATCAATCTAAGTACACACTGTATATGTGAGTAGTATACAAGTCCATAATGCATCAATCTAAGTATGCACTGTATATGTGAGTGGTAGACAAGTCCATAATACATCAATCTAAGTACAACTGTATATGTGAGTGGTATACAAGTCCATACTGCATCAATCTAAGTACACAATGTATATGTGAGTGGTAGACAAGTCCATAATGCATCAATCTAAGTTCACACTGTATATGTGAGTAGTATACAAGTCCATAATACATCAATCTAAGTACAACTGTATATATGAGTAACATACAAGTCCATAATGCATCAAGCTAAGTACACAATGTATATGTGAGTAGTATACAAGTCCATAATGCATCAATCTAAGTACACACTGTATATGTGAGTAGTATACAAGTCCATAATGCATCAATCTAAGTATGCACTGTATATGTGAGTGGTAGACAAGTCCATAATACATCAATCTAAGTATACACTGTACATGTGATTGGTATACAAGTCCATAATGCATCAAGCTAAGTACACAATGTATATGTGAGTGGTAGACAAGTCCATAATGCATCAAGCTAAGTACACAATGTATATGTGAGTGGTATACTCACATATACAGTGTGTACTTAGATTGATGCATTATGGACTTGTTTTGTACTTAGATTGATGCATTATGGACTTGTATACCACTCACATATACAGTTTGTACTTAGCTTGATGCATTATGGACTTGTATACCACTCACATGTACAGTGTGTACTTAGACTGATGCAGTATGGACTTGTATACCACTCACATGTATAGTGTGTACTTAGCTTGATGCATTATGGACTTGTCTACCACTCACATATACAGTGTGTACTTAGATTGATGCAGTATGGACTTGTATACCATATACAGTTGTACTTAGATTGATGCATTATGGACTTGTCTACCACTCACATATACAGTACAGTATGTACTTAGATTGATGCAGTATGGACTTGTATGCTACTCATCATGTGAGTGGTTGACAAGTCCATAAGGCATCAATCTAAGTACACACTGTATATGTGAGTGGTATATCTTTTCAACAATTGGACTTTTATTTGTTCTTATGAGGAAACTATATTTAAACCTACTTTTTACGTTATGCTATCCTTGTTTTTTCCTGCACTAACTGAAATTGTAAAAATGTTAATGTACAACTTAACTACTTAAAGTCCTGATTTATGGGTGGGTGAGAAATTAGAATGTTACCTCTTCTCTTAGGGCTTATAACATAAAACTAAAGATCGTTTTGAAAAATTTAATAGCCCATAAAACTTAAAATATATTTCATTTCAAATTTAACCTTTGCAGAACTTTTCCCCATTAAAATTGTTACCCTAAAGAATCCCTTACTCTTATCGAGATGGTATCAGTCAGTTTGACTGACTTTGTAACCATATGCATAAAAAACAAGAAATTTAGCATTCTGGTGAATGATTTAGTAAGCCTATTTTTTTCTACATATGTTGGTTTTCCAAACATAATTCATGTAGCTTTCAAATATGCATTTTAGAAAATAAAAACATATATTAGGCATGAGAATAGAATCTCTCAAAACAAGTATAATTTATTTGGCTTTCAAATTACCCTATAAATATGTCTAAAAAAATACTATTACAGCTTGGAACAATACCCTTAGCTGAAACACATCAAGTTCTCCTTGCAAATTATTGGTTTCGATCACTAAAACAAAACAATATGCTCTTTCTCTTCATAATGACATTTGGTTGAATAGATGGCAACTGCCTGTTTTGGAAGTCTTTGAAAGTCGTTCTCTATACTTGTGCTTCTATAACAGGCAGTTGCCATTCATTCAACAAAATTTCATGACACTCTTTCTATTCATTATAAACCTGCCCAATGGCAATTTCAGTGAGAATTATTGACATTTCTTAAAAAAAAGACAAAAAAAACAGGGATATGAGAAGGGTGTGCCATGAGGGTTGAAAGTATATAGTGATATCTCAATAAAGCATGATGAAATTGATATTTTATACTCTGGCTTCTCAATATTTATACTATGTATTTCTTACTATTTGAACAATCTGAAGCCCTTACAAGGGAAGAGAAAAATCTATAATTGAGAAGTCGGAGTACCACTGCATCACGTGATTCAGAGGAGCAGATTCAAAATTTATTAAAATATTTCCTTATGAAATATCAAACTTAGATAACACATAAATTTGAATTATGAAGTATGTTTTGATGTTGAATTTATTAATATGCATTGGCAATAAAGTAACTTAATTAATTTTTTAATGAAACCATAAAAAGGCTATGATAAGTACAGTTTTAGCCTCCTATGTGCTTAAGGTTAAGTCTTAATTAAAGTCATCTCTCACTAATCACAAATATTGGAGCTACACAGAATGATTTTGTTGGGGATATGAAATAATAATAAAACTGGGCTGTAAGTACAAGGTGTAGTACTCTCTTTAGGTTAGTTAGCTAGCTGGATCAGTCTTTCCATGACTGACAAATCCTCATTCTAGTGAAAAAAAGAATTAATTTTTCAGACTACCTTTGTTAAAAGTGAAAATAAAGTTAAAATTTTCCTGACTTTTAAATGTATTTCAGATAGATACTCACCTTTTCACAGAACTGAGAGCTATTATCTTGCACCACTGAAGAAAATATTTTTGTGCATGCAACAAGTCTTAAACAAAACTCCCACCCCTACACATATAAATGTGCACTGTATCAGTCTTTAATGCAATCAGCAATCAACTATAGCCTTCCATCAATAAGAGGGCAACAACTCCTCCTTCCAGCTTTAGTCCTTTTGAACACATCTTGGAATACCACAAGCTCATTCTTGATCAGGCAAAAGAAAAACTGAAAGTGAGGAGGAAGGGTTGGGGGTTCTATGTGTCTATCAGAAATAAATTTTCAGGTAAGAAAAATATTAACTTGAAAAATTCTAATCACTTATCCACAGAACTGAGAGCTAGAGCTTCACATTAGAAAAAATGGTTGAGAGATCAGTATAGATGTTGAGGGATATATAAAGGCACAAAAGGTGAGCTCTTTTCTGAACATACAACAACGAGGTACAAACAAACTATGGAGAATGTCATTCACTCGTGAAGAGGGGGATCTAATGGGAGCATCATTCGGTGGAGACCACACCCATTTCAATAGAGGTGGTAGTGCAAAACATATTGTCAAAAGAACCTCCTGCATGGTGATGAAGTATTGCATAGGTGGGTGGAATGTAATGGATGCTCAACCAGCCTGCATATCTAAGGGGATCTGCAGTGAATGTATATGTAGTGTGGATAGGGAAATACAGACTAGGATGGCTACACTATGTGATAAATACTTACCAGTATAAGCAGGTGTAGGGATGAATCATCCCAGACTTGCATTCCAAGGAAAACTCAAGAACCATCCAGCTGGCTTAACTACCAGGAATGGTCTGGTTCATAATGTATGAAGTGGCCAGTACTTCACTTCCAGGTAAATAACCCAGCCCAACACCTAATCAAGGAGCGAGTCAACTTGATATCACACTGATCTGAAGGGAAAAATCTCCAAATTTGCTTTTCTAGTGGCTTGGATCTTTCTTTACTTCTCCAAAAGATAAAAGGGAGGAAAAAATATACATAAAGGAGAACAGGGAGATGTGTGGGCTGAATAAGAATATTTATTGCCTGTATAAGATCCCACACTGACAGACTGTGCAATAGATTACATCAAATAGGGACAGCAGGTGCTAGCCTGGTGGGAGTGCAGGATTACATCTGGTACTGTCCTTTCTTTTTTACGTACGGCCTGGAAGGTAATATAAATATATATATATACTGTTGGAGAAGTCTTGTGAAAAACCTCATCTCAACAGTGAGCACTGAACAGCAGCAAATGGACTGAACACTGTTTGTTATCCACTACTTGATGAAGATGTTAAGAGAGAGAAGTATTTCTTTTAAGGTAAAATTGGCCACATGGCAGGTTCTATTATCTCAATAATATAGATATGTAGAATGAATAATGTGGTTGTGGGATCTGCAAAAAAAATAAATAATTAACAACTCACCTTCTTAGAGCCTTAGTGGACACTTGTGAATGGCAACTAGAAGGGGGACAAAAACCAGAAGTAGATGAAACCATAATGTGGTGTAAGTAATGTGATACAAAGTTGTGGGACTCAGCCACATCCCCAACTGCAAGTTCTTGTCCAGGAGAGATCAACAGCTAGATGAAAAAGAAACCGTGAAATAAAAGCTTAACAGGAGGTGAGATGAAAAAGATGAAAGGCATCATCACCCACAGAGTGAGAAATTAGCTAGAAGAGTTCTATAACCCAACTGATCAAAGATAAATCAAAAGTAGATGAGGAATCCCAAAGCAATAACAAACAATGTCAGATCCCTCTACAGGGAGCAGAATGAGCAAGATAATGCTGAACTGTATAAATAGGACAAATGAGATGATCAAGGTCAGAACAATCATCAGAGAAGAGAGGGAAAGGAGGGTGATTGGAAAAACTTCCAATCACATTCCTTGGCAGCCCAAATTTTGAGGAAGAATGAGAGGTCTTAGAGAAAACCAACCTGTCCCTGTGGTAAACAGTGAGAAAGTCACCAAAGACAAAAATGTCAGATCAACTTCTCTCACAAGCGAGAAGAAGAAAAAAAAATCATTAGAGAAATATGGTACAGGGAATAGGTGGCAAAAAAGCCAAATGAGGGACATGCAGGAAACAAATGTTTCATTTCAGTCTGGAAGAGGAACCAGAAAAGGAGGATGATTGAAGATAAAGATTCTGAAAAAAGGACCATAAGAAATGGAAAAAGAAAAGGAGAATGACCAGGGATTAGACAGTTCACTGATAAACATATAGGAAGTAGCTGGACTAATTCTCACTGAGAACATCCACAGTCAAAGTTACACAGTTGTGGACTGGTGATCAGAAAAGTAGAAACTTGGTGATGAGAGGAGTCACAAAGAATCAATGAGAGTACTAACAAAAGGAGAATAAATCCACTGAAACACCAGAGGAAGGAGAGACCAATTCATGGGAAGGATCTGTCTAGGCAAGATAGCCAATCTGCCATGAAGTTTAAAGCTCTCACAATATGACAGGCCAACATCCAAATGTGGTGCTTGTGAGCCCAAAAAGAGAAATTCTAGAGTCATAAGGTAGAAGTCCCGAGAGCAACCAGCTCCCTGTCACTTGATTTAAAAAATAACAACGTACTTGCATGAATGGAAAGAGACAACAGTTAGAAGAAAGAGGAGGCTCAACGAGGAAGATAACTCAAGATTCAGTAAAACCAAAAGAAGAATGAGAGAAAGAATATCACATACTTGTGAAATCAAAGCAACAAAGGATGAAGGTGTATAAAAAGGTGGATAAAATCATTGAAAGAATATCACATACTTGTGAAATCAAACCAACAAAGGATGAAGGTGTATAAAAAGGTGGATAAAATCATTGAAAGAATATCACATACTTGTGAAATCAAAGCAACAAAGGATGAAGGTGTATAAAAAGGTGGATAAAATCATTGAAAGAATATCACATACTTGTGAAATCAAACCAACAAAGGATGAAGGTGTATAAAAAGGTGGATAAAATCATTGAAAGAATATCACATACTTGTGAAATCAAAGCAACAAAGGATGAAGGTGTATAAAAAGGTGGATAAAATCATTGAAAGAATGAGAGAAAGAATATCACATACTTGTGAAATCAAAACAACAAAGGATGAAGGTGGATAAAATTATCGAAAGACAATAATCATTACAAAATATTTTGGACACATGAAAGATAAGTTAATCAAAAACAAAGTGGTAATTCAAGCTAGCAAGCTGCTACAAAAATACTGGAGTTCTGCTTATTAATCTGAATATTATTATATCATTAAAAAACTCATGTTATAATATTTTTTCTTTAATATAAGTATCTAAATTATTGTTTAGAGAAGTTGTGCTGAACTGCCTGTACTTATCACTTGTGAGGTAACTGTGAATAACTATTACAAATGTAAAATTTCAAGGATAACAAGTATATTAAAACCATGAATCTAGATGCCTTACTAATTGAGATATAATATTAAAGGTAATTCAACTTTTGAGGTTGTAGTTTTATAAAATATTTTAACATAAACTATAATGACTGATATATAGTTAAACCAACTTACCTGAATAGAAAACACTTCACCTGCACCTTCACAGTCATTTGATGTAATTGCTGGAGTATGAATCTGTATGTAATTGTGGTTCTAAAAAACATAAATATATATGGTTGTATTTTTTTAAATATTCCTCAGAGAAAAACTAAAACTAGATCTAAATTCAGAATGCACATCTTTATGTTGTGTGATGTCGAAATACCATAACAGAAAATCATTATCATAAATATGAATATAGTATAAGTATTTAAATCTCCACAATTCATATTACACTGTTTCTCATTCAGCTTTATTTTAATAAACACATACATTAGAACATGCACTTAACGAAAAATATGTTATTTATAACAATGACAAGTTTATCTGAAATATCACAAGAAGTATTCTTCCTCATTTTTCACTTGAAAAATCCATAAGGTAACACATACAAATGTGATTTAAGTATAGTGCTTCAAATTATCTTTGTCAAAGTTGTTACAATGAAATTAGAAAGTTGTGTGGTTAACACATCTGATCACCAATATGTAGCCAAACATGGAGTTTCATCGCCCTTAAGGGATGACAGTGAGGGAAGAAAGACGTCAACATCTCCTTATTAACATATAAACTCAACTTAGGCATCAAAGTTTAGAGAGCTTCTAAATAAGCAAAACACTAAAACATACACAAAATAAAACAAAAACTCATAACACTAGAATTGGGAATTGATTTGAATTTCATGCAAAGCTACACAAGGGCTATCTGCACTAGACGTCCCTAATTTAGCAGTGAAAGACTAGAGGAAAGGCGCTTCACCACCAACTTTTAGGCTACTCTTTTACCAACGAATAGTGGGATTGATCATCACATTATAATACCTCCATGGCTGAAAGAGCGAGTATGGGTGGTGGGACAGGGGATTCAAATCTGCAACCCTCAGGTTGCAAGTTGAGCACTCTAGCCACCTGCAAGAGAACCAGGCAAAAAGCTCAATGAATAAACCGTAGAACTTTTATTGCTTAAAACTATCTCCCTCTTGGACTACTAACAGGTGAGAGAAGGGAAAGTAGAGGAATATCGAAACATCTTGGAAGGAAGGTTGTGACACAGAGGAAGCTAATCTTATTGTCACTAGAGATATAACAAGTAGCATTTTGGCCAGATGGTGGATATCCAGTCTATTGCATAATACAAATATTTAAATATTCTGCTCTCCAATTCTTGATATATTTACTGAAACAAACAGTTTCACTAGATACTGAAAACTATGGAAAAAATAAGTGACTTTTCTTTAAAATTATCCCTCATGTACATATAAAAAATGTAAGACTACAATTACTGACCAAATTTAAAATGATAATACCATTTCTTTAACATCAGATGTCTGGTCATGCTTAACAACAAACAAATGTTCATTAATTTCACAGCCCACTGGATCACAGAACATAGGGATTTACAAAATGTTGTTCTTATAATGTCAAAGACTTCCCTGGAAGTCATACTGGTGATGCAATGAGAAAAATGCTAGAAGATCTGATAAATATAAGGGAAATTAAAGTTAACATTTTCCTACAATGAAAATGTACTTTCAATAAATTCTTACCTCCTCTCACATAACAGCTTTTCTCGACTTGTGCTGCCCTCTATACAAGCATATTTTTGCTCGTCACAAGTCATGATACTCCTACCTACCCTCATGTGTTTTCATGTGAGACAGGTGAATTATAGCATTGCAAATGAGCATGCGACAACCCTCCACTAACAGAAGTGAGACATAACTCCTACCACAGATAACTCCTTCTATGCAGCTTAGCTTAACTTCAAATTGAGATTGAGCAACACAAAAAGAAAAAAAAGACACCTGAAGTGGGGAGGAAGGGTGGAAAGTGTGAAAGGAGGTAAGAATCTATCAGAAATACATTTTCAATGTAGGAAAATGTTAACTTCTGATACGATATTTTACCTACACTCACATAACAGCTAGAATCCCATATTGACCTGATAAATGGACTGGTGTAACATAACCTAGTTGAGCCTCTTTCAGAAAGCACTTGAAGAAAGCCCATAGGGTGTATGAATAAAGAATATGTAAAACACACCCATGGGAGACCACACCACTTCTGAGCCAGGTACTCTTCATCTTTAAAATTGAAGTGTCGCAATAAGGGCAGAATCACAGAAGAAACCCCATAAATTAAATGAAAGGACCCCTGGTGTAGAGTGGCTATGGTGCAGTGGACCATAATGGGGATTTTACCTCAACCAACACCACCTGTACCATGATATGAATACCCAACCTGTGGTAGGAGGATGGCTCTCTACCGTTCACCTCAAGGCTAGTGGCAAGCAAAAATTTGTACACACAGAGGGAAGTACAAATCGAGTTATGTGAGGGGAGGTGAGATATCAATTTGGGAAATGAAAAGTACTGACCACCTAACAAGATATAATGGAGCTAATTTTGTGAAAGGTTCTAATGATGCTGGTTTGTCAAGTTAACCATGTTTTCTCAAAACATTTGATCATGAATGTTCTGAAATTGCATCAAATTGTAACTGATCTCATTACAGTCAGTAGAAAGTCTGTTACAGATTTCATTAACTTGTCTCTAGCATGTTCAAAATTAATGGTTCTTCAAAATGATTTAAACATGCCTCAAACATTACTTGTACAAGATAAACAGGCACAGTGGAATTCAATGTATTTCTTTGAAAGGCTTTTGGAACAATAAACAATGTTTCCTATTTGAAATATGTTTAAATTTGATACAAACACTGAATAAATTATTAAAAACATTAACTTCACAGACTCAATAATTTGTTAGATCCTTACTTTAAAGCAACATTTTTCAAAGAGCAACAGAACAATAAAGTGAAACAGAGTTTGACTAAGAAAAGCACTGATAATGACAAATTCACAATCGAATGTTAATGAAGACAAAAATAATGGAAATGGCAAAGACAACTTCTCCTCATTATTAGTGCAATCAATTATTTATAAGTTTACAGTAAAAGACAACTCATTGTTACAGTGAAAAATCTGCAGGTATTAATGATATTAGTCAAAGGATCAGAACAAAGAAGTTGCTATCATCAGTGAAGTTAATTTTTTTTATCTCTACCAAATTTAAATCAACAATCTAATCTGTGATTGAGGTGAAAACCGAACAAAGACACATTTCCAATAATCTCGGCTCCAGCCAACATTTCTTATATAAAGCTCCTATTCTTAGAAATCAACAAAATTCATGAGGCAATAAGAGACTAGCTGTTTCTGTAAAATGCAGAGTGATTAGTGTTCTTACATCACAACCTTAAATTCCTTCAATAAATAATATGCTTAATGAGATATACTGCTATGATTGCAGTATGACAAGAAGCAAAATAAAAATTCCTAGGCCTACTAAATATTTTTTCTGACAATCATGGCAAAACTGTGCCTTATATTAAAATTTTGGCCAGATGGTGGATATCCAGTCTATTGCATAATACAAATATTTAAATATTCTGCTCTCCAATTCTTGATATATTTACTGAAATAAACAGTAAATATAACTGTCTAATTAAAACAAAGCATTGCGATGGCCGTCGGACGGTGTTGACTTCAGAGCACTGGGCAGAAATCACATTGCATAGTTACTCCCGCCGTTTACCCGCGCTTGGTTGAATTTCTTCACTTTGACAGACTCTATCGGTAGCGTCGACCCTGACGTTAAATTGGGTAATAAGAAATATCGATAGCCAAATGCCTCGTCATCTAATTAGTGACGCGCATGAATGGATTAACAAGATTCCCACTGTCCCTATCTACTATCTAGCGAAACCACAGCCAAGTGAACGTGCTTGGAAAAATCAGCGTGGAAAGAAGATCCTTTAGGGCTACTTATAACTAATTATTTAGTAATTACTTGACTAAAATAGACTCAACTAGGCTGATAATGACTACAATGGTTGATTAGAAAACCCTAATATTTAATTACCATACTAAAATTATTTCAATTCACTTCAAGTTTGATGAAATATTTACATTTTAAATAATAAAGATGGATCATGTGTTTTGGAGAATATCAAAATTAAACAAATTTTAGCACACAACCATTACTAATAACTGAGTTTGTTTAATATTTTCTATGATATTTACTATAAAACTCAAACCAAAATTGAACGAACATAAAGGAACACCTTTATACCTATATTAATTAATCACCTAATGTATAACTGCTACGCTTCCTACAATCTCATGCCTATTCCCACTCTTGTCCTTAAGACATGTGCCCAGTAGTAACAGTCAGTTTCAAACTGTCTTTGTTAACTTGAAGATGATGTAAGAATGTCGAAACATTGTTCTTGTACTTTATTTCAATTAAGGTTTTTAATAACCATACCAGCCATCTCTGTTATACAAAATTAACTGATCTTCTGCTGTTTGTTTGTTACTTATAACTTCCTAATAGGTACAGAAAGTTTCAAGTTATACTGTTCCTGGAAAATTTTATGAAAATTTCTGCTATTCGGCTGTCAAATAGATACTAACGTATTAAAGAGAATATCTGTCAAAAACCATCAAATAGGCTGAATACCAAATCTTAACCAAATATACGTTAGAACCCTGACTCACTACAGTATAGGGACTGGGGAAACAAGATATTGTGTCTAATCACAAGTAAGAGTTACTTCTTTCATACATTTTCAAGGCTTCAGAGTATCATCAAATTTGAACAGTTTAGTTAACCATTATGGGACAGTGTCATTAATATAAACAGTTTTATAATTGTGCTTAAATTTACCTCAAAATATTGATGAATAGCTCTGGTGGCTGCATTTCTTGTCCTGAGCAAAGAAGAAAAATCCCTTGTTCTCGGCCTTAAATGTAAATACTGTCTAACATACTCTACTGAATGTTTTGTTCTGGGGTTGAAAGGATAGTCCTGAAATACATTAAACAAAAATTTCAATTTTATACTTTATACTTAAGTTCAATAACATGCAGACTTAAATTTCAAGGGAAGTGTGGGAGATATGTCCCCCAATACATGCTAAAGGATGAAGTTATTTTTTTTGATAGAATGTCCTCATGCATACCCAAGCTGCAGAAACTGTCCACCCTACAAATGCTAGTAAAATAAAGTTAAACTGAAAGATATATATGTGTCTGTTCTAAAGAACTAAGTATAATCACTGATATTTAATATGACATAATTATATACTACCTTCATTGGATCAATTATTTTCATAAGGCTGTTTCTTGTTAAAACTAAATTTGACACAAATTATGGTGGACAGTTTTGTAATTTCTCCTTCAGATATGTAAATATAAGATTATAGAACTTGCACGTTATGGCACAAGTACTTTATTTTGTAAGGTTAAGTTTATTTGTACTTTCCTGATCAAAGCTATACAAAAACACCAATGATTCCATCTTATTTTCCTGATCATTACGTAATGAATGTTTTGTTTCTACCACAGAAACTTCTCAGTGATTTATTTTATAATATTTTACTGATTTATTTGAATTAAATACAAGTGTATGGAAAGAGATTGGATGATTCAAAACATTTGAGGTCAAATAATTTTCAACAGTAATAGAAACAATAATCTTTTGGAAAAAAATTAATTTGAGTACATCTTGAAACTACAACCTGTGTTTTGTCATCAACACAATTGATATATATGCTTGTAACAATATCACAATTAATTTCTTGTGGTGTATAAGTTTCTTCAACAACTCATATCTACATCAAATCCAAACACAAATCCCTATTTCATTAACTAATAAACCAAAATATTACAATTGTGGTTTGTATTAAATGTTTATCCAGCTGAAGTGGTACAACGTGGATGCAAAATTATGAATTTGAAAGAGTATCACATGTTCTGCCCAACCAAAACTAAGCAGATTAATAAACAAAGATCTCACGACCAATGAATCATTGTGTCACCAGTGCCACTGAGAGCAAGAAGCTCAATATGTAAGTATTAGGAAGATATTTTCACCTCTAAAATAAACTTCAAAGGACATTATTTAATTATGGTTATTACTTAGATAGTTAGAAGTTTGTAAGGAAAATAAATAATATGGAATTTACTTATTTCAAAAAAAAACTATTTTGAGACAAACTGGTTAGTCTAAAACTTATTCTAATCATTTAATGTACAAAAAAGGTGGGTTAGTCATATAAGTAAGAGCCAGTAAAAAAGACTTATTTTTATACTTAGTGTATAATGTTTTGCTTTACTTTTAGTATATACTTTTAGTTTTATAAACATTGTAGTCTTAAAGAACCAAATATCAACAAGATATCTTTATTAAGCATAAACTAACCTCCAGTCGTGTGACTTCTTTGCTTCATACCACATATATATATATATATTAGCATCTAGGTAAACTACTTAAGCCTGATGTTGACAAAACTTTCTCCAGATTTTGTATATTTGTTACTATGTAAAACTAGTTAGTCCTCTACTAGCAATACTGATAAATTTATATTACTTTCATTGTTTTTACTTATAACTATACATTAATTGGAATTTTAGTAATGAAATCAATTAGCCAGTCTACAAAATCATCATGAGTAACTTAGGTTATAATCCAATGGTTTCAAAGCTTGTCTTTATTTCTAGTAATGTGATTTATATGAAAATAAAAACATTTAAAGACAAACATCTCACATTTTGCAACTAATAGTAGACAGTTGTAATTATATTTAGAAAAAAATTATAGTCTACATCTAAACTTATATTTTAGTCTTTGTAAACACTATGTCTGTTTCAATCTTTTTTTTAAAGTCGCCTCTTGTATAGTAATAGCACTTTCATTTTTAATTATTTTGGACATCAACGAGACTAAAACATCTTTATCACGAGTATTATAACTTCCAAACAATGAATAATTGATTTTGTAAAAAGTATATGTTATAAGAGCTGCAGATGCCCTAAGTAATACCGATTCTGATGAAAACTAACCTCTAAAGTCTAGGGCGCACACACACACATTATTAGAATGTCTGGAAAAAGCCAAAGCACAAAAATTTACCATAGTGACTTTTAATTGACATTCATATTGCCATATTTATTTTAAAAGAATCAGTTATTAGCCAAGACGTTAACTGGATTGCTTTAGTCTCGAGCTTTATTGATTTCAGAAAGAAAAAAAAAGGAAAAAAAAGCTTTTACTGTAGTTAATAGGCCAATAAAATAATAATACTGACATCTAATATTTCTTTTTGATACTATATGGCTGTTTTTCCATTAATTCCTGATAAGAAAATAGATCTGCACCTACTTATATAACATTAAAGAATAGTTATTAATTTGTGGAACAAAAATGGGTATGGGGTCTGGACCCCTCCTTCTGCACCTGCTTCTACAGCATTAAAGACCACACTTATGCATTTTTAGCTTAAAAGTATAACACAGTATAAAAAAAACAGTAAATTTACACTTATTTAATACTTAAACAGCCAGAGTGTTAGAATTGAGAACTACCAACCAGCTGTCTTCCCTCTGGTTAGCAGTTCAAAATGAATGACAGTAATAGGTAGCCTAAATAGCTTTGCAATAACAAAGACAAGATGAATAAACTCAGTGGCAAGGGGAAAATCAAAACCAACAAACAAACATAATAGCAACATTTCAATTATTCGATTAGTTATTTCTATGACATTAATCGATTAAATGTTATTTTGATTAATCAATTAGTTTATAGGACAATAATTGATGTAATCGCTCCTCATAGATAATCAATTATATTGTTTAAATCACCCAGCTCAAAAGTTTCATATTATCATATTGTACCAGTTTCTTGAGGTACATATGCTTTTTCACTGTAAAGAATGCTAGGCCTCATTCTTTAAATCATTAATTTAATCCTAAGGATAAAAACAAACAAATATATATTGAATAGGGAAATTAGGAACCTACACAAATTTAAATACCATTATGAAGTTTTTGGGACAAACATTTCAGTAGTCCTGTGGATTTTTCTGTTTTACTTGAATCCTTAATATTTGAAGTAAAAAAGAAAAATCCAAAATACTTAATGGACACTAAGATATTGCTATGTAATCAATAAAAAGAAGTTACCATTTTCAAAACATAGCATGAATGCTCTTAAATAGATCACATATAATTTAGTTTACTTTTTTTTTACCTCAACTTTGCATGATCCTAGAACCATCAGTGTTTCTGCTTTCAGTTCAATTTCTTGGCCCTTACTGGTACTTCTTTCAAGAATTCCTTGAATTCTAACAGCTTCTCCATAGTTTATATCAGTAGCACTTAAAAAAGTGTTAAAAGCATAAATTATTTGGAGAACAGTTACATTTTTTTATTAAGCTTTGAAACCTTTGAAATTTATGAAATAAGCATTCTGCAAACATTTTTAAAATTGTCAAGTTTAAGAATAGGTTTTATATTAGCATGTTTCTATAGACATGTAACAAGAGCAAAAATTTTATCAAATTTCTTCAAAATCTGATTACATATGACACAGCACTATAAAGTGTAGCTAAAAGGTATGTATGCCATTGAACGATGACATTTTCCACTAAAGTTTAAATTTAAAATATTACAAAGAAAAATCAAACCCTTAATAAACATTTTCATTGATATAGGGCTTAGTTGATCCTAAATGTTTTCCATATATAACTAAATATATACAATTTATTTTGTAAAAAATTGGAAAAAATAGGTTCAGGTTTTTAACAAAATTGGATTATATTAAAGAAACTTTAACAGAATAAAACGATACCAAAATTTGTTCCCTGGACTCAAGATAACTTGAAGACGCTCCATGGATGATCCATCATCGATATCTAAAAATATTATTTCCTTGTGTTTTCGAACTGCACGAATCCAGCCCTAAGGTTTAAAATATAAATACAATATTAAAATATCTTTATGTGTTACATATATTAGTGCATAATTTATGTATATAGAAATACACACACACACACACACACATATATATATATATATATATATATAGAGAGAGAGAGAGAGAGAGAGGAGGGACGGGTCCTAAAAAATAACAGAAATATATATATAT